TCAATATGCAAGTTAGTCTGCTGAATGTCTTCCACTCCACACGGGTCCTGAAGTGGGAAAAATGCGGGGTTGAAAAAATATTTTTCAATTTCAAAATATGTTCCCAATTCAAAAAATGTGTGTCCATTCAAAAAAAGTTCACCAATTTCAGAACGTGTTCCCGAATTTCAGAAAGTGATCACAAATTTGAAAAATATTCACAAAATTCAAAAATATATTCATCATTTCCAAAAAAACGAAAATTTCAAAAATTTATCCCAAATTCTAAAAAGTCCGCCGATTCAAAAAATGTTCATGAATTAAAATATTTGTTCCAAAATTTAAAAGGAAAAAATTGAAATGTGAGAAAAAATAACACAAAAACGACAGAAAAAACACATAAAAATGTTTCACGAATTAAAAAATGAAATGGGAGAAAAGGCTAAAAAAAAGCTGGTTCAGGTTCTTCAACCTTCCCAAAATTTGCTGGAAAAAGACATTGAAAAACCCTTTAATGGACGGGGCAACATGCAGCACGCGTACGCTGGGGGTGCATGTTTCGTCGGTATTCATTGACCCGTGCGCTAAAAAGGATCTGCCCTCTCTCTGGAACCTCCTTTTTAACGCTATTTGCGTCAAACATGAGGGTTCCTGCACAGGGGCGTCCTGGATGGGCCTGTCCATTGTACGTACTGTAGCGAACGGTAGAACAAGGTAATGTAGCGATGCACCGAGGACTGCATTGAACCAAAGCACCACCGCGAACCGATGCGCTCTACTCCCACCGTCCCATAATAGAAGAGCGTTTTTGACACTTGGGACAGAGGGAGTAACTAGTTGTTATTGTAGCACACCGGGCAATTATAGCAAACATAAAAATAAATTTTTTAAACCATTTCTTGCGAAAGACAAATATTTTTTGAATTATGAACCATTTTGGAAACAAGAACATTTTTTAAAACATGTTTTTTTAGTCCTTATATTTCATGAAATTTCTGCACACTTTTTGAAAACATGATTTTTTTTAAATTATGAACATTTTCTTAGTTATGAATATGTTTTTGAAAATTGTGAACATGTTCTGAAAATGCAAATAGTTTTCAAACTCTTGAAAACTTTTTTTAAAAGCGTAAACAGTTTTTAAACATTAAAAAGTAAAATAGCAAAAAACCATAAAAGCAGTAGAAAGGGGGAAAGCATGGAACATTCTAGAATGTTCTTAATCCTGAGTAACATGAGGGCCGGCCCAAATCCACATTGTTGCCCTGCCTAAGTCTCTGGTTTAGGCACATCACTTTTCAGTAACAGAGTCGGTTTCTAGATTTTCTCCTCTAGAAACACATTTCAGTATCCTAAACGACGATGTTCTCTTCTACTGGCCTTGACTATCAACAAACAGTGGAAGCTGCCGGCATGACTCCAATTATGTCCGTACTGTCCGAAAGACGCAGCATCGCCCCTAGAACAAAACTGTTCTGTGGGGCCTTCTGATCCTGGTAATCATAGCATAGCTTCGCTTCTACCCCACGCTCATCGAAGCATATAGGACGTACCCCAAAGAAGTGGCGTCTAGACCTCGGGACACCTCGTAATTAAGCTCTTTGCCCGCAAGAAGATGTCTGATGAAAGGATCATGGAACATGTGCTGCCAGGGTGCACCGCCCAGCTCCACGAAGCGTATGAACTCACCGGCACTGTCCGCGAACCTTTCGAACCTCCTAACGGCGGAGGCAATGTTGGTGTTACTGGTCTCGCGAGCGTTTCTAACGCACTAGTTTGCAAGAGAGGATATGTACGACATGGTAGCATGAGTGATCCGCCTAGGGAAGGAGTTCATTACCTCCTCGTCAGTTTCCTGCGTGTCCATGGCGCGTCGGCGACATCTTTGCCGTTCCTCGTCACACTCGCCGGCAGCCCGCTTCAGCGCCAACGCACCAAGGACGCGTCTACGATTGACAACTTGCAAGATGCCTCGAGTGCAGCCTCTATTTTGATGTGCGCCAGCTCCAACCAGCTCCAACCACGCCTTCACTGATGGGCGTGGCCTCTCTCTACTCATTGCCGAGCAGGAGGGAAGCGGTTCTATTTACAGCCTCTCCGATAATCACGGAACACGCCATCTCTGCCATTTGGACCTGGAGGGCCCTAGAGATTTCTTCCCCTCACCACACACTACTGAATTTTGAATTTTGGAGTTTGAGGACCCTGAGTTTTCCATCGGCGTCCTACCATAAATACTGCAGACAGAGAGTTTGAACTTTCTTTATTATTCTTTTCCCGGCAAAATTCTTTTTTGTCCACCAACCGCCACATGAAAAAGTCACACTCTGAGGCTCTGAGGCTCTGAACGGTCAAGAAAAGAAAAACAGAACTGAGAAGTATTGCCTACTACCTCTGTCCTGGTTTATTGGTCCTTATTTTATTTTGTGCCAAATTTTGACCATAATTTTAACTAATAAAATGTTAATGCATGTCAACAAAAATTGTATCATTGAAAACTATGTTCAAATACGAATCCAGCGATATAATTTTTGTTAACATGCATTAACATTTTGTTATTTAAATATTTGGTTAAAATTTGGTACAAATTACAAAGAGGACCAGTAAACCAGGACGAAGGTAGTACCACGCAACAGGGTCGACAGGAGAGTAGAGGATTAGTTGTGACTTGTCAAGACCACACGTCCAAAACTGAGAAAAACTCTGAGCCACGCCTGCTCAAATAATCTATCGCTTGGCGCACCAAAATATCCATGTCGGTGTCGATGAACTGGCAACCATACATGTAGCAGGTTTTAGAGGAAGAAATTAGCAATGGCCAATCCATGACTAGGGATGAGGTGGACATGTCAAGAACGCAGTCTTGTTTCTTATTTGATTCATAGGGATGAGTATATGCGCGTATGTATGAGCGCTTGCGTCTGTACTGATGTTAGAAAAAAAGAGTCCCCAATTCACATACTTACAGCAAACTACGCTCTTAACGACTTTTCTACATAATATTATTTTCAAAACCAACTAGTGCTAAATTAAATACCAATTTTACAACCGTCTAGTTCCAACACGCAAAAATATTCTATACGACCGGGTCGTTTACTTCATCGAGTAAGACCTCTTCCAATACTTGCGTTGTGTCTTCAATAATGACGGAAACACCTCCTTCTAATAGACGCCGATGTACCCTCAAAAAAAAAAAAAAATAGACGCCGATGTGTGTACATTGCAACCCCTGCCCTCAGAGATGCAATGGCGCGAGATGTGGACAGCCTTTTGCGCGGGATGGGTGCGGCTGCAACCCTTGCCTGGCGAAGCGCGGGATGTTGTGCATACATGTACTTCCTCCGTTTTAAAATAAATGTCTTAATTTTGTACTAGTTTAATACAAAATTATGCTAAACTTGAGAGACGTTTATTTTGAGACAAAGGGAGTTTTTTTATGCGAAGCAGCTAATGCATGGCCTGGTGCCCGATGGATGAGAGAATCAATATCTAGCTAGCTCGAACGAATTGCATGCACGTGTGCGGTAATATACGCATGACTACATACATGTCTATTGGATGATATAGAGTCATGCATCTGGCTGGTCTATTTATAATACTCCATTGCTAATCAAGTGCCTTTCATCCTTCTTCTGGTAACAAATTGCAGCAAGAGTTAGCTATGCTTTAGATAGAAGCATGTAGTCCTTTTGTCAAAGCCATTATTCATCAACATTTTGATTATTTGTACATACAAAACTATTGCTCTGAGATGTTGGAGCAAAACAAACATGCCAGATGTTTTCCTATATGGATAGCATGAAAGTGTCGATCAAGCTACGGATGAAGCGTGGCGAGTCATTTCTATTGTCGAATCCATTGGTGCATAATAGTGTGGCAAAGCTTCCCGATGTCCTGCTAGCAGGGAGCAAGCAATGCAATGGCTCCAGCCTGAACTGGATTACTCTGCTCTGCCTGCAGGCCATGGTGGTTCTTTACTCAACTGAGACCGCCAACATCACACACCTGCAACCCCTGGCCCGTTACTGAATTATAGCGATGCAGATCGATTGAAGAGTATTTTCGAGAAATCCATATATCACAGGAATAATTTGTTGCATTGCCTGCATGTCTGGTTCAAGCACATTAGTGTTCAGTAATAGGTTTCTAGATGCTCTCTTGTCTCACTACAAGAAACCTGCTTATCTGTGACAGATATAAACTGTCATAGAAGAGCATAAAACCGTCAGGCCTTGTCATAAATCTGTCATGTATCGCGCGTCATAATTTGCCGTCAGCACACTCCGTGACAGAAATGCTTAGCCGTCACAGATTCATGACGGTATGCGACCGTCATTGATCAGGCCCCCGGCCCTGCTCGGCCCGCCCCAGGCCTGGGTTTCGGTGATAGACAGATCTGTCACGGATCTGCATGCCATGATGTATTGCGTGGCTTCCATGTGGATCTGACGTGGCACCATCTGAGACTCTACCCTTTGGGCCTATAATTTCGGCCCGGTTAATTTGTCGAGCCAGGTCGAATAGCCGGAAAAAAATAAGGCATACCGGACTGTTTGGCCCATTAATTTTTGTCGGGCCCATATTTTTTAAAAACTAATATCTGTTAGGATGTTTTTGATGGTCCAGTATGCTGTTTCTTAGCCCATTTATACTGTACCAAATCTAGCCCACTAATGCTCAAAAAACCAATTTTGGTCCACCACAATGAAGAACTTTCTTTTGGCACAACAACAATGTCAAATAAACAGAACAGATGCACATCATCACAAACACAAATTAAACTCCAGCATTACAATAAGATAAGTACTGATCCAACACAAATAATCTTCCATGTCCAAATCCACTAACCATCAAACATAACACATCCAACACAACTTCCATCTACCAGCAAAATACTTAGTTTGCATCCAGCAACATCATAAGAAGTTTGCACTACAAAATAACATATAATAGAAGGCAGGTTCCAGCACATTCACAGCTTCCAGCAGAATTTTGCCTGGACAAACAACTTACTCTTGAGCTTATCTTGCATGAATCTGATTTAGTAAAAAGTCTAATTTAGCTTCCAGCTCAGCTTGCTTTTTCCCGTTCTCCTCTTCTTGCTTGGTCCTTTCTTCTTCTTGCCTGATCCTTGCTTCTTCTAATTCATGTAACTTATTGTTTGGGGTTTGAACAAGGACCCGAAGCTTAGCATTTCCCCTCTTCTGCCCTTCCTGTTCCGCCTCACGATCGCTACGACTAGATCTCACATGCACGTGCTGGACCCCCACATGCTTAAGAAACATTGGCTTCTTAGTGTGCTTAGTAAGAACTTCAGCCACAGCCTTGGTTGCAGAGTTGGATTGTTGGCCATCTTCTGTAGGTTGAGAAGCTTTCTTTTCCATTTCATCCTAGCCATGCAAGCAAACGAACACGGTGAGCAAAACAGGAGACAAATAAGTTTTGCCTATATGTATGCCACATTTCCATGTACAGATGTAGACATGTAATTATACTCTAGTCACTACATGTATGCTGCAAGTACTGTAGGCCAAGGACAACAAGTATTTTAGCACAAGGACAGAAAATAGCAAGTACTTTACACAAGGACAAAAGGTGGCAAGTATTATAGCACAAGGACAGAACATAGCTAGTACTTTAGCACAAGGATAGAAAATATCAAGTATTTTTGCAATTACTTATTATCCTACTACTTGATCTATGGCAAAAGGTTAACATTTTGATGGTTGGTGATCTTTAAAGCTGACTTACAATTGCAGCTTGCACAGCATCGGTGTAGCCTTTCTTTTTGCTGCTCTAGTGGCACTGTTTGAATAAATCCAGTGCAGTGGGTTCTTTATCCTTGTATTTATCTCCCTGAAAACAACATATATGCATCAAGCTAACATTTGTGAAGAAATAACATGTATAGTACCAATACTGAACTATACTTTATTCATTTATTCACGATGAGATACCATTAAGTGAAAATGCATGTATTGGCTGTAGGCAAGGGAGCAGTTATATTCATTACCGCTAGCAAACTAAAAACTATCGTACCTAATGTACCTAACAATAGCAGGAGCAGCAGAGGTCAGATATAGTTCAAGCCCAAAACACCGAAACTTAACATGCTAGCATCAAAAAATTAATATAGAGAAGAACAATAGCTGCAATGGTAAGGTTTACATGAACTTATGGCCAATAACATTATCAAGACCAGACAGAAAAATCTCATGAAAACAATTGCCAGTTACTGTCACATAAACTATTTGCACATACCCAGACACATGTTTGACTTACCAGGTTACCACAGTGCACAGGGTAGCTGCGCGAACCAGTAGTGTGGTAAAATTGGACTTGAGCACGGTTATTTTTGTTAATTCCACATATCTCCTGCATGGATCAGTGATTTGGTTAGCTAAATGCATTTATTCAGGAGTTATTATGGAAACAAATAAAACATCCAGGAAGGATTCATCTTATATACACACCCCGACATTTCAGAGGTTGATGATGTTCACACAATAACATTGCAACTTTATTTGATTGATCTTCTGACAGACAACCTCATGCTAAAATATGAGCTATAGTGTACAAAAGGTTGTTTTCAAGTACTTCCACATCAGGAGCTTTATGGTACTGTATTACATCAAAGTAGACATTTCGGTTATACGTTGAGTTGTCATAATCAATATATGGATGACAAAGCTAATTGACAAGCACACAAAGAAGTGAATAAGTCATACTGTTTTTGCTTTACATATATATTGAATTTTATTATTTCCTACATGTAAGTCTGGTAACTTGCAGCACCCCTGACTCATGAGTAATGGGTTAGAACCATCCAACTTAGATGCTACTAGCTAATACAAGATGTAGTGGAGTGTTGCGTTCAGTACTGAAGTACAAGAACAACAATAGAGGTGGTTGGCAACGCCAAAATAATATTTTTCTCCAAGAAGAAATGTACCATTTTTTGGGATCCTTCCAGCTTTCAACAAGCTCATTCCATTGATCATCAGTCATCGAGCAAACTGGAGAAGTTTTCGTCACCAAATTGAGTGGGAAAGGATCAAATACTTCTGCTTGAGCGTGTATCGTTGTTGGCAAATCGCACATTTCAGCATTTGCGTACAAGCCTTCCTAACGGGCACAGCTTGTACGTCCATCTCAAATTTGTTCTAGTCAGATGAAAGAACACGAGTGCACATAATTAAAATAGCACAAAATTGACAGGTTACTAGCCATTTGACTGAGAAAGGGTTGGATCATGTACTTACACCAACTTTGCCTACAAAGTTCTAGAAGATCCCTTCTCAGACATTTCTGCCTGGGTCCTTATAATTCTTCCAGCGTTTAAACATAGGCACATGGCCTTTGATTGTGACGTTCCATTCGGTTGCAAACTTTGCAGCAAGAAGAGGTGTCTCTGGCCTTAACCTCCCTTCTGGAATGACAAGCGGCAGTCCCCCCTCCCGACGTTGACTGATACTTTCTAGGCATTTTCCAATATTGACCACCCTTTCCCTTGTCTCCTCATAGGATTGTGGCCCTTCAAAGAAGGTAAATCAGAATGTATACACATATCAATTAAAATTAGATAGTAGAAAAGTGCACTGATAAATGGAGAACATCTTTTCAAAATCAGTAACTGGAACAACATGAATTAAGCTCTTAGCTTCAGTCTAATTTTAGAGAACTGTTTTAAGCTCCACCAATTATTAGTTCAGTTTAACAAAAAGCACCACTGTTATAACTCAAATAACATGCTAGAAAGATTTTCGATTTTATAACATGCCTTGAGTGTCATTGTCAGGTTTAGTTTGTGTTTGCTGACAAGGTTCAACACGACCACCAGCTTCGAAGTCCATATGGTTGCCATCATCATGACAGGCAATGAGATTAGATCCATTTCTCATCCAGTAGTCATCATCAGAATGGACACGGTCGCCATCTATTAAAAAAAGGCATCCAGTGAGAGTACGCTCATCTTGCAATCAAAGTTAATGATCAGGGCGAACGATCCATAAGGCAGAACATTAGAATGATAGTACAACTTGCCTTCAACACCACGGATGCAGTTATCCAAGTTGGGAATGGTTTCTCCAGCTTCAGGCACATAAGCAGTTGGCTTATGGATTGCAATTGGTGTTTGATGTTTAGGATCTGACACCCCGTCACTTTGACGACTTGCATCAACATCTAGTAATAGTCTTTTGTTTGACCTTGTGACTCGCACATTCGTTGGAAGCTCCACATGAATTCTTTTAGGAGGTCGAGGCTTGATTCCACTAGGGGCCATGGCAGTAGATCTTTTCTTATTATTTTCCTCACTGGTCTTCTTACAGTCGTTCAACCCCTGATAGAAATGAAAACATGGTTAAATCAACAAAATGTAACAAAAATTCTGCTGCAAATAGCAAACAAGCAACATATCTAGGAATGACTAGTTGGAGGATTTTAGCACCTTTAACTTTGAGCTAGGAGATGGTGTGGACTTTAAGTCTTGCAGTACTTCTCTCTCATCTATTAAACTATCATCAGACAAGTCTCCTTCACTGGTATCCTCCTCATTAGGATGGTACTTAGCTTCAGATTCATCATGAGTATGCTCGGGCTTTCTTTTTTCAGGTGAAATGACAGCTTTTTTTGCAACCAAAGTTGATAATGTAGGAAGTCCAAGTGATTGCAGACTTGCATTGTTCCTCATGCACGTTTTGAGGCGCGTCACTTCCAAAGGATGTAGTGGTCGTTCTAAGATGAGTGCAGATATAAACACGAATTACTATGTGCATAAGAGTATTTAATAACAAATTACTGTTTTTTATTGAGTTTGCATCAATATGGGAACCAAATCTACACCTGGAAGCATAAGGATCTTAGAAAACCATAGTATTATAACTTCTAGGCAAGAAATACCATAGTATTATACCGTTGCAGTATCTACTGGAGTAATTGTTTATGTTTGGAGTTATTGTGATGTAATTAGCCACTAAAAATTCAATTCAAATAAATTTGTATCTAATAATCCCATGTAACAAGGTGAGAATTAGCCCATAGCAGCACGCAACCACACATGCACTGGCTCGTTTCCGGTTGTGTAGAGATTTTTTTTGTGTATCAATTTTTTCATATAGCTAATTTGGCAATTAGATTTGCCATGTCAAAGATGAACAAATCAGTAGCAATTTATGTAGTCTTTAGTTACACCTACGAAAACACGAGTTCAAATCTAGGCACACATATGCACGAACAGAAGATAGGCAGTCATGGGAAGGGGTTAAGACTATACCTGCTACTGATGTCTTGCCTCCTTGGAGTTTCTTCCCTGCAGTTTTCTTCCCCATCAGTATGGTGGTGGAGATGTTCTTTGGAACAACGAGAGTGGTGGCGGAGAGGTCCTTGAAGCGGCGACAGGGTGCTGGCGACGACGACTAGTTCTAGGGTTCGGTGGGGCGGAAGGTGAGGAGGGAGGGGGGTCATAGCCGATAGTCGGGTGGGGTGGTGACCTGCGCTGGATGCAGAAGAGGGAGTCTTGCTCGGCGGTGGAGGAGGTGACGGCGTGTTCTAGGGTTCGATGGAGGTGGATGGTGGGGAGGAGGGGGGTCTTGGCCGGCAGTGGGGGTGGGGTCCTGACCGGCTATGGATGTGGAAGAGGAAGGACAGTCGTGCTTGGCGGTGGAAGAGGTGAAGCGGTGGCCGACAGCGGTGGAGGCGGAAGGGGAATGGGAGGGGATTTGGCGAACTGCGGGGTAGGGGTGGGCGTGCGGTGGGGATTAAGTATTTCTTGCGTGTCAAATTACTAACATGCCATTTGGATGGCACCTGATGGAAGAATGGTTGTGTGCAATTGTCGGGCACCTTGATGGGTCATTCGGTCAATTTACGATGGTGGACTTTTTGGCTTGGCGCCGTTGGAGATAAAATTGTACATGTGCACGGGTATTCTTGCCGCCAAATGATATTTAGAACATTACAAGGGATATGTTACCTGTCTATGGCCTAGGGTTTCGTTAATAGAGTAATTAGTGCTAATCTGGTGATGCCACGTGGGTATGACCAGCGTTTAGCCACCGGCGACCACGGGGCACGGCGGTGTCCGTAATAGAGGCCATGGCGGTGCTCCTGTGCGTGACTTGGGGCTAGTAGGGGTACCAGGGGAGGTCGAGAACGACGCCGATGACGAGCTAAGCGGTGGCAGTGCCGGAGCCCGGAGGCCGAGGAGCGAGGGCAGGGGAGGGAGAGGGACCAGAGGGGACAGGGGAGGGGAGGGGAGGGTCGGAGGGGCCGAGGGACCGGAAGGGAAAGGGGAGGGAGAGGGGCCAGCCAGACCTGGTGCAGTGCCGCCGTCGCCTTGAGGCCAGTGCTCACAGAGAGGAAACAGGAAAGGGGATGGGGGAAC